ATCAATTTAACAATGAATACAATTACAACATTTTGTTAATGGAGTTATAAATTATTTTGTGCTAGCAATAATAATGGATTATAAATGTTGTTTTTATTACATTTTGTTGTGATGAGAAAAATGAATCATGCTCACTTTAAACATGTTTTCTCAATTTAATGTACAAATCCTAGTTGTATTAAGAATTTAAAAATGATAGCCATTGACCCATCAAGTCAGCCACATCAGATCACACTTTATTTATTTTTTAATGATTTTATATATAATCTATAAAGAAATATTAGGCCGAATAAGATCAATATTTTTTTGGGAAGTGTATGTATCATGAAACCTAATTTTTTTTTGTCTAATTTTTATCAGGCATGGTTTAGCCCGTTTGATCCATTAAATCACATTGGTCCAATCTTTTTTGTGGGTCTAAAAATTAGACTCGAGCCCAACAAACCCATTTGTCCAACAAAGTTTGAAAGCCCAAAAAATGTATGCATAGCAATTGATAAGTTTCATCTTTGTTATATACAATTTGACAAAAAAATAAAATGTCGTTAGACTAATAATTTTAAATAATTGGCATTCATTTTGTTCTATATTTATATATAGAAACAATACATTTTTAGAAACTTAAATTATGATAAGAGACACATTACATGATAAAATTACAAGATGGTTTTTTTCATACAATAGAAAGGAAAAATATGTCAAATATTTTTGTTAAGTTGTCGGGGGAAAGATGTAAAACAGGGGTATAGGAAAAAAAAATTTAATTTATCATTAGATTTTTTTAAAATGAATTGTCAAACTTTTAGTGATTATGCAAGATTTACTCTTTGACTCTATAGGGTTTGGTTTTGTGTTGAGTGCGTGAGGTGGAAGCATTTCTACTTTCTCTTTTGAAATATATCCTTGCATTTGCTTTCCTTTTTTTTTTTCTTTTTTTTTTTTTGTCTACAGTGCCCTTGCTTTCTCATCTTCACGGAAATGGGTGAAAAATTTTCAACCCATGACTGAAAGAGTTAAAGCTCTCTTTTAATTATTTTTTTATATACAAATAATGAAATAAAAAAATAAATTTATTGATTTTGAAAAATATTAATAATATATGTTTATGTCATCACTTAATTTGTTGGTTGTCCGGTGTTTGTGGCATGCATTGTCAACAAGGAAGTAATTTGAATTGTCAAAATTAATTTAATGATTGTAATTAATTCAATCATAAAAGTTTCGAAACCATTTTAATGATAAGGTATGCTAAATTTTAAATAAACAGGAGATTTATAATTAGACAGTCTTTTATTCAATGATTGTACATTAAATTTATTTTATTTTATAACATATAAAATAGTTTTATTTTTTTTATATAAAAGTTATGAAATGTACTGTTATTAGTAAATAAATATTAACAAAATTACACCTTTTTCTTTTGCTTCTTTTACATAAATCCCTACTTGAGGGATAACCCACTAAGACAATGGGAAATCCACAAAAATTTCATTGAACTTGAATTTTATTAGAGATGTAGTTAGTAATTAACCTATATAAAGTTCTAACAATCATCTTGTAATTACACTTTTTATCAAATCAAGTATTATTTTCATTCTATATTTGTTTTTCTCATTTTTTCCATCTAGATTCCGGAAGAAATTAGAATAAGGAGAGTCCAATCCAAAAAATTAGTTCATTAAATAGGAAAACTTCAAAATTTTAAGTATGACATTAAATTTTATATTCTACTTAACATGAAATTTCTATAAGAATGAAGTGTCTATTTTATTTATGTGCACAAGGATATTATTAAAAGTTTCCAAAAGTCCATGAACGGATCACATTTGGGTGGATTGGAAGGAAGAAATGTTGATTTGCAGATTATAAACAATTAACACGCACATAGTGGTGGATAATACAAACGAGGGACTTGACGTTTGTTTGGAAAATACCAACTCTAAAAACATGATCTGACATCTCCATATCCCTGTCTTTTTATTATTTTCCTATCACACCACTTATGTTATATTATTTATTTTAATATTATAATATTTATATGATCTTTAAATTTAAAATTTTAAATAATAAAGATTGAATATTAAATAAAAAATGTCATTAACTTACGTAATAATGTTATACAGTATATACACTATAATGTGAATATAGTAAATAAAATAAGTCAAATAGCTTACTGACTTTGGTTCTTAAAGAAAAGTGAAGCCTTATGGGTTATATAGTCGCTCTGACTTTTATTACATTTATTATTTTGCAGTAAATTTACTTAATTTTTTTCCTTTGTAATAAATCTGGTTAATTTTAAAAATAAAAAAACTAAAATTGTAAAAGTAAAAAAAAAAAAGACTAAAATCACGGATTATAAATTACAAGAGGTTAAAATGCATATTTTTTGGGAAAACTAATTTTATCAAAATTACAATCTTAGTTTAAATTTAAATTTTGACATACTATACCAATAAAAATGAAGTGACATAATTTTAGTATATATTTTTTTTCATCAACGTGATGTTGTGTGATTGATAGATAAGCGTGTCCCTTATCTATATTTAAGTTACCATTGTATTTGAATTAAGGGCAGCTTTCATGCATCACCAATGTAAAATTTTTCATGTTGAAAAAAAATAAATAATGAATCCAAATAAAAAGGTGTGGGAGTAGTTGCCCCGTTTAAAAGGCCTCGTCTTATAAATTATAAAAAAAAAATTATCTAACCTGTGTAAATAGATCATAAATATGTATAATTATAAACTATTCTTATTTTTTAAATTATAATAAAAAATAAATTTATAATATGAATATTATTCCTACAAATTATTTACTCCTAGTTTCATCATTTTAACCTTTTCAATTACTCACTCTTTCAATTTCTATGCGTATTACATACACTATCTGTGCAATTGGTTAACAAGTTTCTCTGTGAACTATTTCAAACTTTACTTCTTGTTCTTTTATTGGTGCTAGCAGAAAAAAAAAAAAAAAAAACGCACATAGTGTATATATAGAGAGAGAGATTTTGAAAATAAATAATTGTATTGAGTAATTATTTTATTATAGAGAATAATTTAAAATATTATTAAGTGAATATAATAAATTAAAGGATAAAAGTATCTAATAAAAATGGAAATTAAAAAGTTAATTATCAAAAAGTATCCTTTATATTATGTATAAATTAATTTGTAATAAAAAAAAATCAATATATAATATGAATATTGAATCTGTTTATTTAAACTTTTTTTCTCCTATAAAAGTGTTTCTTTTTTTATTAAGATAAACACTTCTTTACTTTTGAATGTGTTTGTCATTTTTTTTTAAATAATTAATTTTTTTTTATGAAACAACTCTTATTTATTTTTAAAAAATATTTATTTAAAAATACTTGTTTTTAAATTTAAACAAACAAGTTCACTATTATCGCAAATTATCTACTCCTAGCTTCATATTTTACTCTCTTTTTTTTCATTTCAATGTGTATTGGATACACTGTTTACAAATTTCTCTATGAACTATTTCAAACTTAACTTTTTCCCCATTATTAGTGTTAGTTGAGAAAAAGGTACATTACTTTTTCCCCCATTATTAGTGTTAGTTGAGAAAAAAGGTACATTCTTCAACATGTTTATTTTTGAGAGATTTTGAAAGTAACTGGATAGAGTAATTTTTTAAAAGATTAAAATATATTTTTAATTTTTATAATTTCACTTATTTTACTTATTAATATTTATATATTAAATAGATATTTTTAATTTTTATACTTATTTTTTAATTATATGATATATAAAATCTTTATCGTGAATTTTTTTATATCACAATCTTTTTTGTGTTAACATGACAAATATTTTAATTTTCATATCTCTAATATTGAATTTATTTTTATTAGAATTATTCTATTTTTTTAAGAGTGACATTGTCATATTTTGATGATTTACACTCAAGTTAATTAACTTTGACAATGTAACTTAAAAAAAATTGAACAATGAATATTTTAACAATTAATGTCACAAGAAACATTAAGAAATCAAATTTAAGATAGTTTCAGAAGAAAAAAAATATTTAACATCTAAATTACAAAGTTTAAAACCTTTGTTATATTCAATATAAAAGAGATACAGTTATAAAGAAATTAAAGAAAATGACTAAAACAGGTAGATATGTGGACTAAAAAATACATCTTAAACTACAAAGATTAAAATTAGTTTAAAAAAAAATAAAGGCTAAAAAAATTTGTTTTGGATTATAAGATTAAAAGTAAAATAAGTATAATTATAGAGACTAAAATTGTATTTTCACATTTTTTATTATGTAGAGTAATTTTAAAAATTATAAAGTGGATAAAATAAATTGAAGGGTAAAAGTTTCTAAAAAAAACAAATATTCTTTTTTATATATATATATATATATATATATTTTGTTA